TACATACTTCTTCTTCCACGAGCTTAGAGTTCGGAGGACGCGCCTAGCACGACGAATTCAAAGGTAAAACGAGGCACGGGTCAGGTAGGAAACCCAATCCCACCTGGCCGGTGCACAAATCCACTCTCGAAAATCCACGCTGCAACAGGTTCCAAGCAGGCGATAGCACTCCAGGATACTGTGAGAGCCGTGGCAAAGACCTCCGACGCCCTTGCTCGGCCTTCCGAACTTCCGGAGTGAGTAGGAATGCAGCGTCGATTGACGCCCTTCGGCCGAGAAGATGCTGGCCCGAAATGACCCGGCGGGCATCAAGGGACACCAGAGCTGCAATATGGTCAACGACGATAGGCTGGCCTGCGTGGACACTCGGCTCGGTCCAGGACTGCACACAGTGTTTCCAATGCTGGGGAATGGCAATGTAGTCAAGCCTGCTCTCAGACTTGTTATGCTTTTGAACTTTTGAACGTAAGTGCCCACAGCACCCTTATGCACGCCTGACCAAGTGGAAGGGAGCCGGAGGGAAAGGCGGCACAAGACATCATGGAGGAAGTCTCCAGCAGTGTCCTGTTCATCAGCATAAAGATCGCCGACGGCATCCGAGCATTGAGAACCAAGGGCGGCGCATGGAGATGAAGAGTAACCACACATCAGCTGCTGTAAAGAGCACGAACAGCCTACGTGGGTCCGCATGCAGGACTGTAAAAGCACTTTGAACTGGGCCTCATGAGGGAAGGCGAGCGATCACCGGTAGGAAAACGGCAGCGCAGAGGAGCATTCCCGAGCTAGGCACCAGACCGTCAACGGCGTAGGCCAGGGCAAATCCCGACGTGCCGGCGAGTCTGATAAAGGTGAGAGGGAAGCTCAAGCCTAAGGACGAAAGGTCAGCTCGACGTCCTTCGCAGGCGGGAACCAAGAAATCGGTCCGGGAGCATTGGCAGTCGACAAGCCGTCAACGACAATGGTGAGGAGAAGACCTCTCTCTCTCTCATATATGTATGTATGTATGTATGTCTGTCTGTATGTATGTATGTATGTATGTATGTCTGTATGTATGTATGTATGTATGTATCTCAGTATGCAGCCAGAACTCCAGCAAAACACACCGAGGGCTGCGGGGACGCTTGCGCTCGGGCTGAGAGACTGCAGAAGCGATTCGGCCGAGACCGGCGTGGAATTCACTGGCCAACGTGTCACCTCTTGAGTGTTCAGCAGTTTGGGGTTTAGGCCTTGGGTTCAGGTGTAGAGTTCAAGGTTTAGGATGTTTAATATACTCGACCAGAACTACCCTAAACCCTAAACATCAGAAACTATCCCGAATCGGCAGCTGGTCACCGGTTTTGGTGGAGCCGGTCACGGCCTCCGAAACGGTAGCAAAGGTGTCGGCCACATCTCGCAAGGAGTGGGGCTCTAGGTTCACGACGACCATCTCCTCTGCGACTCCGTAGTTAAGGAATCGATCTTGTGAACTTTACCCTCGACCCCTCAATTAAGGACTATACCGACTATACCGTAGAACTCTAGATTCTAGAAGGACCCTTATCATGATGTATATACTTAGGGGCCGAGTACCTTAGCCCAAAAAAGGTTAACCTTTTGAGTTATAATAGGTTTATATAAGCCCCAAAAGGTTAAAGGTTACCTACTCAGCCCGTAAGTATAAGGTCTATTCCTTAATTGAGGGGTTTGGGACCCCTAAACCCTAAACCCTAAACCCCTAAACCATAAACCCCTATAAACCCT